GCATAGAACAGAAATACATATATTGAAAAAGACAACACATTTCAAACATGAATTAAAACAGGTAATTAAAAGGTAGGAAAATACAAAATCCATTTTACCTATGTACTTCACCCAAAATAGCCAAGAGAAGTAGTTTTACTCTTAGTCCCACTGGTTGTCAACTCCACTGATGTGTCTCATGACAAATTTTGTTTTAATCTAGACGTTCTGCTTACCAATCATCCGGTTTCACGGCAGAAGGATCGGGGATTTTTGCTTTTTCATCCCACTCATCGGGTTTTTTGTCACTGGGATCTTCAATCTCTTTGGGGGGATTAATCGGAGGGACCACATCTTCCAGCAGGCTTCCTTTGTTGATGAGGACTTGATCAATGAATATTTCAAATGTGTTGTCGGGATTCATCACTGCAGATCGATTCAAGTATGTTATACATCTCATCTTGAGAGATATTTTACAGATAATCTAAGAATTAACACAAACCTACACATTATGAGTGAGACCTTCTCCTCGACCAGAGTACAAATGACATCTATTTGTATATTTAATCATTTATTACTTATTATGTAAATATATAATTTAATATTATAAACCATAAAATATATAAATGATTATTTGCATTTAAGAATGCAAGTATACTTTCAAGTATATGTCTATTATATATGTACTTAAATTATTAAATATTGTTACAAAATATACCTAAATTATTAAATGCAATGCTCTTTAAAAACAATGGTCTCGTTTTAAATTACATTCGTTACAATGAAATGTTACACTACTTTTTAAAATTAAAAATACTCCACAGCTAGCTGGCTCAGTTTGTGAGGCCCTTCACCTAAGACAGTTATGGAATCCAATCTAATCTTCTTCAGCGTCTAAAAGTAACTTTCTGAAACACTCTCAAACGGATAGATGGGTTATAAAGAACTTAAAACTTCACCTACCTCATACACATCACCCTCCAGGACATTTATTGCCTACAAACAATGACATGCTCCCACATCTCACCAATCCAGCCACCAACACTAGGGCATTGACATTGATTCACGACTACTATCTAGTCCGCAGAATATATTCATGTTTGGCCAACTATTCAAAGACTGTCCTTCAAGACAAGAGAGTCCGTTGAAAACCAGACATGGCATTTAGTTGTCATGTCTCTTTTCCTCCTTTCCACAATCTTCTTTTAAATTTTATGTATTTATTGGAACATATTTTATAAATGTGGCCACTTTACTAACGGTAGAAGTCCACTTTTCATAAACTCCCCTGAAAATGAGTGATGGAGCCATTGCCCAGAGCACCTCCAGAATCAGGTCATTAGAATTAAAGAATCAACCGCTCTTACATTGCCGTCTAAAATATCTCAGGAGAGACGTAGGAGTCCACGTCAATATATCAGCGTGCTTGTTTCCAGCTAATAAGTGTTGTCCCTCGGAGGGTTGCAGGAGCTTGGGTGGCAGAGTGGGCTGCTAACTGCACTGTCAACAGTTTGAAAAAGCAACAGCCTTGCCATGGGAGAAAGACGAGGCATTTGACTCCTGGACAGATGG